AATCCCACCATTTTGGGGGCCAAACAATCTCCTTTTTCAAAAGATACAGTGGAAGGGGGCACTTTTAATGCTAATGAGCTAGTCAGAAACTCTCACTTGAATTAGTGGTCTGCAGCCTTTTTCCACATTTTGGCTTCGTCTCTGCGGGCCATATACCGAACTCCATAATGCACGTTTGTTGAGGGGGACCAAAGGAAAGTAGGAACCAAATCATAACCTTCTTACTTTTAGCCTCATACTAAACAATTTTAATAACTGGAGCAGATTCAAGTCCACCATTCCAGAGTGCAGAATGTGTTCGGACGAGTGGGCCAAAGCATAATGCTTTTCAAGCATCCAAAATTGTAGAGTTGGAATAGTTTTTCTTCAGATTATGTCACTAGCAGCCCGACATATTATCATTTGCCTCAAAAAAAAGATCTGATATCACATTTTCTTGGCCTTATGCTACTTAGCTCACAGAGTACATAAAAAAACACAAAACAAAAACACGTCTTCTTACACATTTTAATGAAGTTTTTTATTTGTCATACAATGAGTCAATAACATTATAATTGCATTTAGACATAAACACTCCTCAGCATCATCACGACTGAAGGAAATTCTTACCAAGGCTATTCCAAGTTTGAAAATCTGGGACTCTAAGTTTCTGCATACATGTATATTGTACAGAGAGTCCTGCAAACTTTAGACAGACTTAGATAAGAATAAAGAATGGCTTTTTGGGGCATCCAGCTCAACAAGTCTTCAGTACTGAACAAGGAAGCTTGCTTTTGTAAAGTGGGTCGACAGAAACATCGACCATTAAATCTCCACTTCTAAACACTCTCTCCACAAGTCACATACACCACAGGACTACTGACAAACTGAGATCAACTGGTTTCTATATCTTGGGCAGAAGTTTAAAGAACACTGACTGCATTTGTAACTTGAATGCTAAAATTGGACTGTCCTAGCAAAATCCGACTTTGCTAATATGTTTCTAGGGATCAGATCTTTGCTATATATTGGATAAATTTCTTCTTCTTTTTTTGCTGAAGGGCTGGAGAGGTTTCCCTGATTTTGTTTTGCAAGTTTCTGTGCACTCGAGGTCTTGAAATATTCTCGGGAAACTTAATTTCATCTCATACGCAATACAAGACCTCAACACCCAGCACTGTCATTAGTTACACAATATTAGACTGTAACGGTAGTCAAAACCTCAATGACAAGGACAACTTCTTAATTTTAGATTTTTGCCCTGCCCGACGTGTATTTTAGCACTTTATACTCAGTGTATGCCCCTGAAGGCTTGTGAAAAAACCACAAGGGTACTCGGGTGGGACTCGAACCCACAACCTCCTGCTTACTAGTGCAGACATCTTAACCACTCGACCACCGAGCTTGCCGGTGTCGGCTGGCTGGTTCGAATCAGATGTAGCAGCGGCTACTGCGAACAACTATTTCAAGGATGGATTCCAAAGTCATGAGGTCTGTTACAGTGAGACCAATTTTCACTTTTGCTCGGAATGGCCTCCAGAACCCGCAAGGTGGGCCAGAAAACTTGGTGGCTGAGTGGTTAAGATGCTTCTGTCAGGACAACTTTGTAGTCTTGCTATAAATACTGTAGTTAGGAAGGTTAAGTCTTTGTCTTTACACATATGATGAGATCGGCAAAGCATTCCAAGGGTTACATCACGTCCAAAAATGTCTGCATCTCGTGTAGGAACCGAGAGGTCTTAAAAAACATACACTTATCATTTCACATCTTATAAATTGCCACTCAACAGAGGGCAGCAAACATCTGTAAAGTACTGACTGGTGGTCTTGAGCCCAGTGAGTGCATTAAATATTTATCATCAGACACATCTATGGTTTAAAATTTAGTGCATGCAGCAAGGAGGGAAACAGAGCAATTGATATCAATTAGATATTGACCACCCTCTGTAACCAACAACGAGCCATTTTTAATACTGATATAATTATTTGCTGCCTTCGTACAGGACAAAAGGGAAATTATGCACAACTGTCAACGTACATCCATTACATATGTTTTGAATGTTAGAATGCAAGACAGTGTTTCTTGACATAGTCGCTTCTACTTGATTAAAACAACTGTCATGAAATACTTTTGAAAAATCCCCAGTCATTCAGAGAAAACTGGATTCCTTTGTTATCAACTGACGTACAGTCTAAACACCACAGTACATGTAAATGAAAAGATGCGTTGAGCAAAGTATGCCTTAAGTACAGAATTAAGAACTGTTGGTGAAATGTTGCTCGAGGGAAGTTGAAATATAAAATATTAACCATAAGAGTCCTCAGTCCTCCAACAGGTGAAGGATTGAGGACTGTTAGGGTTAACATTGAAAATTATTCAAATTTCCAATATTTAATTTTGTATCTATTCACTGTGCAAAGTTCCATCACCGCTCTCTGCACTGCAGTGCAAGCAGCCGATTTCAGGAACTTTATGTAATGGCATCACTTCAGTTACGCCATATTTTACACTTTAAGTTGCACAACAAAGTAGGACACATTCAATGGAAGTTGCGCATTGCGCAAGCCCATGACTTGACGTAAACAGATTATGGCGGAACTTTAGCAATAATTTTAGGTGGCGTAAGTTGTGCTGAACAAATAGGAAATGAACAATTTTACAACTAATCTTGTTTGGTGCATATGATAAACTGTACAAGTTTGTTTTTTGGAGGTTATGAAAAACTTGTTTGGCCGTGAGAGAACTTTGAGATTTTCTGCCCGGTTCCGATGAAAAAGAGATGAAAACGTTTTCAAAATGGCAGATGGAGCTAATTTAATGAGTGTTTAAGAATTGCTGTAAAAGGACAGTTGTCATAAATGCTCCTCATCAACCATAAGTATATTGCACGGCTACATGTAAGCTACAAGTTTGTGGCATTTGGCTTACTCCTGGTGAGGAGTTCTGCCAGATTTCATGAAATCGACTGCGGGTGTGTTACTGGCGCAGTAGCATTTCCTGGCAAAACACTGGTCACGCTGTTACTGACCTCATTACAACCGAGACAGTGCAGAGATGGTGCTGCCTACACCATCTTCTGAGGAAAGCCCAACAGTAGTAACCCCAACAAGACAAACCTATAGCACGATGTCTGTTCCTACAGCTGCGCATCGCCCATCGGGGCCATACAGCCACGGCAGGTCACATAACCCTTGAGAAGGAGCTAGCCAAACGAAGGATGTAGAGCAATTGAAATCGATGGCTCAGGCTTACGACTGCCACTATTGCTGGTAACTCAGAAAATGAAAGTGGGATAAAATGGTAATGATATAAGTATTATTTGCACTTCGACTTTTTGAGAAAATCCTTGGAAATGAATTCCAGATTCATAAGGTCTGTTACAGTGTGACCAATTTGTGCTGTCGCCTGGAACGGCCTCTAGAACCAGCAAGGCAGGCCAGAAAACTTGGTGGTTGAGTGGTTAAGATGCTACACATGTATTTGTAAGGAGCAGGACATGGGTTTGAGCCCCACCAATGCAAACTTGTGAATTTATTTCCTTGCGAGCTTTCCAATTATATACTGACAATATAGTGATTATTGAACTGCATCAGTTAAGGTAAAAAAACAAGTTTTAAAAGCACCAATTAAGAGTACCGATATCCTTCAACATTTTGGACAATTTGCGTGAAAGAACTTAAGAATTGACCCCCCCCCACAAAGAAAAATACACAGTGAACCTAAAAGGTTCTTCTGGTCTTGGCAAACTTGACAATTAAGTTTTTTCCTTGCAAGCTTAAAGGACCCCTTTGGCATTCAAAAGCAAACTTGAAGCAACCCTTGTACTGAGTTAGTCAAGGATATGGAACTCTGTGTCTGCCAGAAAAGATGGCTGTGCTGGTACAGACATTACATTTAACGCCGAAGCCTTTACTTTGCTTTTTTTGCGTTGCGTGAGTTTTATACCACCTTTCTTGCGCCGCTTCTCTTGCGAGTTTGTCGTTGAGGTGGAATCCGCCGGAGAGGGGTTTGCAGAGGAAGTGTTCCCCTCCCACTGCTGTATTCTGTTCAGCGTTTCTCGCAGTGCCTGGCCGTCGCCGTCCTCGTAGCCGTCAATGTCCACGTGGATGTCGTCGGACTCGAAGCTCCCGTCCGGCCTCATCCGCAGCCTCCCTTCTGGGTCAATGCGGAGCAGGTAGCGTCTGACAATCCGCCTCTGCTCATCCGTGTGCTGGGGACAACGCAGAGACTTAGTGCACATCTTCCGGGTGTGCTCCGAGATGACCCCGCAGGTGGACATCAGCAGGCGCTTTCGCTCCTCCAGGGACAGCCCCTCGTATGAGGTGGAGGAGAGGCCCTTTGAGGGGTAGCTTGTCACGGAACCCACCACTGGCTCCGAGGGTAAACTACTGACGTGGCTCACACAAGGGAAGTCTCCGATTTTAGTTGCACACTTCGGCTTTGACCTCCTCGGTGAGTTGCTGTTGACCTTGTCCTTCCTGGATTTCTTGGGGGCTTTCTTGTCAAAAGCAAACGACCAGTCCAGATCGCGGTCGTCATCTTCGTTGTCACTGTCCATTTTTCCCATGCCAGAATTGGCAATTCGTTTGCTTGCCAGCCTGCTGCTATTTCTCCCCATGCCCATGCATTTCTCCAAGTGGGGTGCAAAACGCGATGCTGAGAGATTGCGGTTGCAGTTTGGGCAGATGCAGTCTATCTGTTTCTTGAGCGGCGGTTTGCCAAACACATCTCTTCCGGGCTCGTTTACAATTTCGTAAAATTTCAGGCTTGGCTCATCAGTCTCATCGAGGAACAGCTGTCCCATCTTACAGGAGCGGTGAATCTCGAAACAAAACCCGAGAGTCAGTTCTTGGAGCACGTCGGAAAATATGTCCTCCTCTAAACCTCCCTCTACGTCAGGACTCGGTGATGCTTCATCGTGAATGTGGTGCAATAAAAACTCCTCCATCCTTGAATTTCACCTCCCTTTATCACGTTGTCAAAGTAAGTTTCTACACCCTCATAGCCATGACCCCTTCACAACTAGAAGCTGTGATTCACAACCGTTAAAAATAGAAGGGAATCATCTCCTGTTTTTGTTGCAACAAGTGATAAAAATAGATTTTTACCCTTCCTCCATGATTTTTATCAGCAGCGTAATCTGTCAAAAGGTGCCATTTTGGACTAGGTTTGCTGCCCTCTATCGCCGGTTTGGAGCCAGACTAATTTGTATTTCTGTATACTTTCATGCTCTTTCATTAAGTTAATTGGGGAGATATTCAACGTTACTTTTGTTAGCTTAAAGAAAAACAAACATCTTATAAATCTGCAAAAAAGCTGAGTCTAAATCAGATTATTTATTCCTGCAGCTGCTTCCGTTTTTCGGCCGCTTTACCACATACATTTTCACCGCGCTGCTCATATCCTATCCCCAAACCATAATCCCGGACGCAATTGTCACTGTATGCTGCCCTCTGTAGTGTAAATGTGTTTTTTGGGGGGGGGGCACTTTTCACTTTTTATTGGTTCCAATTAGAATCAAGGAAGATGGCTGTACGGTCAAAAATGACGTTTTTATTTGGAAGATTTGAGCTTCTGCTTTAGGAGCTATGTTCCTGTATTTGATTTTTTCTCAATGGACTAAAAAGTCGGGGGGGGGGTGTCTACTTAACAT